ATTATTATTCTTGTGAGACTCATCCCCATTTGTAAATAATTGTACCCCCATCCCCGGATAATTTTGTAATAGCTTAGAATTTAATTCTCGCACTTTATGCTTTCAAATATGCCATGATTAGAGATTAGAGTTTGTATGCGAAAATCTAAAATCAATCGCTAGATGACCTAATACAAGAATCAAAATGCATGAAAATGACAAACACAATGCACACTTGCACCTCTAGGGTAACCCTTTTTTTTACCTCGGAAAATGCAATCATGTCCCTCGAATATGAGACACTCTAGCAAATGCCCCTTCGATAAACAAAGTTCATAGTCCCTCAATGTTGCCTTCGATAAAACGATCTCGTCCCTTACAAAATTGCTAGAGCGTCTCACAAGTTGCTTTCAATGATTGTATGCGATGACCCACGCCTGTCCCGTTTAACATCCTAACACAAGGTTGTTCGCCAAATTCAATGGTGAAATAACACTTTCAAAAGGGTTAAAATACATAAGGAAAGATCTTTGAGTAAAATAGGGTAGATAACTCTTAGTTACTTGATCAAAAGCTTGCAAAACATCCTTGCTATTTTTAAAACACAATTCAAAACATTTCCCAAAAACAAACTTTCAAAACATTAAAATATCTTTTCAAAAAGACAAACACCTTTGTATATATTCAAACAAGAATCATTACAAAGGTCACCTAAGACAAGGCCTCTTTTCAAAGCATTTTCAAAACCACACACACAAGGCACCATTTCAAACAATTGAAAAGCAAAAGCAAGTGATCTGAAACAAGTAACTAAGAGCCCATGGAAAACCATGAATGAAAAGGGTGCTTGCACCTTCCCTTTTCATAATCTACTCCCCGAACCCAAGAAAACATCTCAAAGGTCTTTCCTGTGCTTTTTGACCTTTCCTTTGGATAAAATAAAAAGTCGGTGGCGACTCTTGCTAAACCGAATAATTGCGAACACAAACGTAAAACCTCAAGTCAGTTCTCCCACCGTATCACATTGATGTTATTATTATTAACGTTATTATTTGATATTTTTATATATTAATTATTATTATTATTATTATTTATTATTATCATCAAAATTATAATTATATTTTTTGTGAGTTTGGTTGACTATGTCAATCGAGGGTTTTCGAAACCATAGTTTAAGAGGTGCATTTTTTTCTTCTTCACCAAGTATTGAAACCCAATCTTTTCTTCTTTGTTAATAAGATATCAAAGGCCCAGATCCAGAATGAAAAACGAATCAAACATTACAGAATCCAATCTTTTTTCTGATTGGGGAAATATTTTATTGACTAAAAGTGAATTTATACAAGAAATCATCCGGATACATACAAGTACAAACCCTAATTTTGAAACTAATCCAAACCTAACTTACAACTGAATCTGATAATATCCCTAATTGATTCAATCAAGCTCTAATTCCAATTCGTAACGATAATCATAACAAATTTCCTAAATCAATCTCTAAACTAAACCTATAAATACATATAATCTAAGACCTAAAAGGGAGGGAATGTTTGGCGAACATAAGAAGAGATCAAGGAGAAGGAAAAGAGGGATCTGGGTTTCAACTTCTGAAACCCTAGATCTGAGCTATGTCACCATCAAGCCATCCTTCCACGCACCTACAAAACAAGAAAAAGAGATTAGAAAGGAGAATCAAAAAACCAGAAAAGGACGAATACAAGAAGAGTCATTGCAGAAGAGGTAATCCAATTCACTTAGCTTAGGATTAATTATTTAATCTTTGTGATTTATGTTTAATTTTGGGGATTTCTGGAAAAAAATTAGGGTTAGGGTTCTTAGGGTTCTTTGAGGATTAGGCTAGGGTTCATCCAGAATCCTAGGGTTTTTGGGGTTCATGGGGTTTGTATGAACATAGGGTTATGGTCCTAGGGTTCGTCTTAGGGTTCTAAGTTCTGGGTTTGGGATGAAGATTTCAGTTGAATATCAACCAAAATTCTTGGTTTTATGGTGGTCTTAGGGTAATTCGCAACGGCCGGCACGGCCAAGGCGATTTTTGGTAAGCTGTTTTCTAGAGAGATGTCAAAGCCTCTCTCTCTAAAAATTTGTGTGGTGAAGAGAGAAGATATAGGTGGAGAGAGAGACGAGAACGGAAAAGTGAAGGAAATGGGACAAAGTTGAATATATAATATCCTCGGATCTCATGCAACACCCTTATCGTGCTCCCTTACACACAACCATCTGATCTTGATCCAACAACCCAATCCCGCGCGCTCACTGCCATACCATACACCCGCCCACACGCGGTTCAAATGGATCTCCTAGTATTCAACATTGGGCCAAGTCCAATTCTTAACGCACCCTCGTGTCTTTTTATTTTTGCTAACTAAACATAACATACACACCCCTTTTGCGCTAATGGGCCAATTCCAACATCTGGACTTGGGCCATATTATTCACACCCCCTAGAACTCTAGATAAGCTTATTTTGTACCCCCTGCATTTTTTATTTAAAATTTATTTATTTTGTATAATTTTATTTATTTATTTATTTATTTTATTACTTCTTTTTTTGCATATTAATAATTATTGGACATATTTAAATATTTAATGTGTTTTTTAATAAATTCTAAAAATTGTTAATTTTTTAAGTGAAATTCTTTTTTTAAATACTAACTCATTTTTTTAATACTTTAATAGCATTAAATATTTTTCTCATGTATTAAAATTTATTTTTCTCATAATACGTAGTATATTTGAAAACATATAACCAATCAACGACTAACCCTTTTTTACTAACTTAGTAAACTCAACATATTATTTTCAAAAAGGATTATGGAAATATCTTATATCGACTGCGAACTGCGTCTACAATTCCGCTATTCACAGACTCGGACTTGGTTCAAGGAGAATTCGAGATATTTCTATAATCCATAAAAAAACTAATCGAACAACTACGAACTACGAAATGAGACTCAGATTCTTCATAAGAAAATATGTAGACATACGACTTAAAATTGTGGTGGATTTCCCTAATTAAAATTAAAAACCTATTCTTAAACCTTTAATGTAAACCCTAGTATCCTTGTGAACAAGATAGATGAGAGGTGTTTAACACCTTCCCTTCGTCTAAAACAGGTCAACAACTTAGAATCTCTGACCAAATTAGGGTTATCCGTTATATTTCCTTCCTTAGGATAAAATATAATGGTGGCGACTCTATGTTTTTAAATTGATTATTACACCTGATTGTGTAGGTTTAAGAGTGATGAAAGTGGTTTTTAGAGATGTGTTTCTTTATTTTCTAGTTATGATTTGTGATGAAAGTGGTAAATGTGAAAAAGTAAAGAAAACTAAAAATTTATCCTAGTTCCCCTCACAACCCGAGAGTATATATAGTCCCCTTACCACATGTAAGAGATTTTATTATTGTTAGATCTTATGGACAATAACCTCCCAGTCAACCCATCTAACAAAATCACAAAGAATAATCCTCTTATGATCAACCAAGTTGAAAAATGAGAATAATCCTCTCCAATTTAACTCTCTTGCTTCCAACCATCCTGGACAGCAAGGTATACAAACAAAACATTTATAAAAATAAAATGATCCTTTCTTTTCGAGTCTCTTGTTTCCAACAATCTCGGATAACAAGGAAACATACTGAATATCAAACAATCCTTGATACTTAGGAATTTATAACACAACAATAATTTTTATCAGAAGAAAGTTTGTATAATGGACAATACTTAATCAAATGACTAAAGTATTCTTCTCTTTCAAATATGAAATATAAATATCATAAACTCTCTAAGTGCTCAATGATGCTTTTACAATTATATGAAAAATTTCTCAAAAAACATCTTAGTATGGAAATTTGTAATGAAAATTATGTAGAGAGTTTTGTAGAATTTTTTATTGAAAGAGGTTATATGAAAACTAATGTGTTTTTCCATAAATACATGCTAATAAACCTTCATAAATTTATGCAAATCCTTGAGAAATTTTTATGAAGGTTCGCAATAGTTTAGAATGACAATGGTTCATGGAAAAGACATAATTTTTAATTCTGTACAGGACTTGTTTAGTCGGTTAAACTGATACTTGACATAACAAGTGCATAACGTTTTTCAAATTTCAAAATTAAAATGCTGCTTCAGACCGACGAAAATTGTGGCGGTTTTTTTGTTGTTTTGATGGGTCAAACTGCCACAATTTACCAAAAACATTATGTTTGAAAAATTAAAAAAAATTCTAAGTATTTGAACCAACCTTATGCAACATCTGTTGATTTATCCAAGTCAATAGATAATATTTGAAAGTGATTTGACATGGTTCAAACATGAAAAATATTATATTTGAAATTGATTTAACATGGTTCAAACATGAAAAATAAATTTTCCAATGCATGATAATGAATATTTTGAGCAATAAGAAATGTATATGATTTGGAATTCATGTACCTAAGATGATGAAAAAAATCTTGTGAACCAACTCATATCTTCATAGATCTTTTTCTCATTGTTTGATAACGTAGTGTTGAGTTTATCTTCATTAAAACATGTTGGAAACTTGTCCTCAGAGATTGTTGAGATTCGTTGAAAGCTCCATCGGTAATGAGAGTCATTCAAGAAGTATATGGAGGTTTCCATCTAAGGTGAATGGTGGTGTTACTACTTACAATGAATTTGCGAGACTTGAGCATGCTGGATTTATACTACATGACTCTCTCTTTGATGATATCTGCCAGATTTTGAGGCATAATAAAATCAACATCAAAACATTTCCAGTTCCTTTAATGTCATATAACATGACACACAATGTCCTAAGTTTTAGTCCAAAAAGAGTCTTGCTTAGATTTCCTGTTATAATTCAAGTTCCAAGCTAACCATTCATATTTGGTAGAGTTGAAAAATGAATTCCACTGAGATGGATGGACAAGGTTTTTCCACGTATGATGCACATGTTTAAGGTCACAGAGTGCATGAAGAATGGTTTCATGAACCCCAGTGCAAACAACACAATCATAAATCCAAATGTACCTTTGAGCTAAAAAATGTTCTGTTTTCAGACCATTGTGATGAAGAAGCCATATTAAGTTTCAAATCCTTTGACACTTGAATCTTCCATATTTCCTTCCAATCCACATCAGTATTATCTTCTTCCTTCTTTATTAGCTCATTATAGGCAGAAGCAATAGAGAAAAGGCCAGTGGTGGTGCCTCCCCATACATAAATATCATTTCCCGTGCCACTGCTAGTAGGAGGGATAACAGTTTTCCGGTCAAGGATGTCATGATTGAAGAACATATTGAGACGATGCCAATACTAAATTTTATTCTCGTTAACAATTATGGTATGTTTTTTACCCCAAAATTTTCCCTTCCTTTTCTCAAGATGTTTCCCACAAAGATCTTCAATGATTCAAGCTTGCACAAGTATTGACTAGGTCAAGCCATCTCCTCAACACTGATGCCTCAAATTAGGTTTTGACTTTGCACAAGGAAATTTGGACTTCTAATGCTTCAAATTACTTTCATGGATCATTATGGACCCTCAGGATTGCCCCAGTCAAGTTTCAAGTTTTGGATCATAAAATCGCTCAATCAATTAATCAGGTGACCTAAATTCAACTGTATTTGAAAAAAGTAAATTGTGGTCAACGTAAGTCATATTTCAAGATTTTGGACCATTATGAAAATTTTTAAGTCATATGTATCATTTGATCAAGATTGGACCACAATTCTCCAAAAAATTGTTCAAATCATCAAAAGGGAAAAATGGTCAAAATTAGGGTTTTGATTGAGAATGACCAATCTTTGACTTTTGACCTAGTACATGACTTATTTTAGACCTAATCGCATATTTCAATTTATCTCCCGAGATCAGTGGATTGATAGATGAAATTTGGTCAACTGATGAAAAAGTCAATTGTACACTGAAAAGTCAAACTTTGACTTTTTGATCAAATTTGAGTTTCAAAGATCACATTTCATCAAGACATTCAAAATATGAATTTTGATCATCAAGAAATTAAGAAAGTCAAAAATAAAACTTTGAAAGACTTGAAAAATTTTCTAAGTGTTTTCTATACATGTTAATTTCATTACTTCATGACATCTTTTCAGCACAATTCAAGAAAATTCAAGTTGTTACAAGCATTCAAGTAAGCAACAAGGTTGCATTATTAAGTTAAAAATTGCAAGTTAAAAATCCTAAAGTTTGTCTTGTTTGATATTTTTCCCTTTGATTCAATCTTCAAACTTTGCCACCATCCTATCCACAAATATGCCTTGTCTTTGTTACAAGCTACATTAATCTTTCCACAAAACCAGACTTGTATCATGCTACAAATGTTGTTGTCCAGAAAAGCCCCAAAATCAGATATGCTTCCAAGTTCAAGCCTGCTGCTACTAGCACAAAACCATGTTAAAAAATAGTTTGTTGTCCTGTACAAAGCCATCCCTGCACCAAGCTATCACTTCACTCTAAAACTGCTAAGAAACAGCCCAATTATGCTGCCTCTAACCATGTCCAAACCTGCACTATATCAGTCCCATATTTGCATTAACATTAGCACATTGGAGCTGCATCTAAAAAGAAATGAAACAGTATACCCAAATAGTTCCAAAAAAAACTTATTTATTTCCCTCCCAAATTGCAATCAACTTCATCTACAAATAAGCTGTTTTACAACACACAAAGGGGTGGGACTTTGGAGAGAAAAAGGGAAGAGAAAAAAACAGAATCCTTTGTAAACTCTACTCATTCAAAAAAAACTTTGCTCATCTTCAACTCTATTTTCATTCACAAAACAGAAAAAACCCTCAACCCCCTGTAAAACCTTGCAAGCTTTTCCCTAACCCAACTATTCAAACACCTCATATACATCACATAAAAAATTGTTCAAGCACAAGAATAATTTATGTAACACCATTATCTTCACCTTCCAAACACAAACAAAAAAACAGTATTTTGCAACTTGACTAAGTGAGAGCGATTCTAGAACTTTGCGGCACAGAGCAAGGATTGGAGAAACTTCAAGAAGGAGCTCAATCAATCGTCACTCCGCGCCCGGAGACATCTGTACATTTTTTCAAAGTTTTCAATCCAAGAGGTATACTTATTTCTGAATTGTAATATCTTTATCCATACATCATTTGCTTTTTGTGTTCAAAAGATATATAAAAAATACAGAGCAAAAGAAGAAAACTCAATGAAAAGCCAAGACATGGGACTAACACAGGTGCCTGTGTCATAGGACATGGCCCGTGTCAGCTTGACTGTTTGAAAATCTAACAAAAAATGCAGGACAGGGTGCTGACACAGGTGCCCGCGTCACAGAATACGTCTCGTGTCAGATCTGCTGGAACTTGGAACGTGACAAAAAGGAGTACAGGGTGCTGACACGGGTGCTTGTGTCATAGGCAACGACCCATGTCAGATATAATGGAACTTGAAACGTGACAAAAAGGAGGACATGGTGTTAACATGGGTGCCCGTGTCACAGGACACGGCCCGTGTTAGATCTACTGGAACTTGGAATGTGACAAAAAGGAGGACAGGGTGCTGACATGGGTGCCCTTGTCACAGGACACAGTCCGTGTCAGTTCTAATGGAACTGAGAATATGACAAACTGATAGGATAGGGTACTGACAAGGGTTCCTGTGTCACAGGACACTACCCGTGTCAGCTTATCTGGGACAGAAAAGAAGCGCGCATGACTTATTACAGGGTTCTGACACGGGAGGTCGTGTCAGAGGACACCGCCCGTGTCAGGCCAGACACCAAAAATCTTCTTCTTATTTTTTACTTTTTGCTATTATTTTCATTCAATATGGTTGTAATATTAAAATTAGGTTTTATTTGCTTTTATCTCCCCATTTGTAAACTTGAACCCCCATCCCCTAAAATGATGTAATAGCGTAGGATTTTAATTTCCGCAATTTACCGCTTTAATATAATTGTTAGTAATTAGGGTGTGCATGGAAAGATAAAATCAATCATAGAGAACCCTAATCTCAAACACAAAAATGCATGCAATCAAACACTTTTTTACACGCGCACCTCTAGTTCAACCTCACTTGTTGCCTTAAGAAACAATAGTCATGTCCCTCGAATGTGGGACGCATTAGCAAAGACCCTTGATAAAAAAGATCATAGTCCCTCGATAACCCTTCGATGTTTCCTTTGGTAAAACGATATTAGTCCCTTATGAAAATTTCTAAAGCGTCTCATAGGTTGCCTTTTATTACTATATGATGACTCAAGCTCGTCCCTTCACATCTAATGATAGGGCTTCTTATCAATCAATGGTAAGATGGAAACATATAAAGGAGGAGGAAAAGAACTAAGACCCTTTTGAGTAGGTAGAAAATTCATAGTTGCTTGCTCACAACATTTTCAAAATAACACCTTTTAAAACACACCAACACTTTCAAAATGAAATATTTTCAAAAGTCAACACTTTGTATACATTCTTATAGAGACGAGAATCATTACAAAGTTCTCCTAAACAAAGGAACTTTTCAAAAATTACTTTCAAAACCAATCACAAACACATTTCAAACAGAGCATTTTGAAAGTGAGCTAGCAACTAAGAGCCTGCAGATAATATGGATGAAAAGGGTGCTAACATCTTCCCTTTTCATAACCTACCCCCCAAACTCAAGAAAATATCTCAAAAGGTCTTTCTTGTTCTTTTCACCCTTTCCTTTATTGGATAAAAGAAAAGTCGGTGGAGACTCTTGCTATCCGCAACTATTTCAATAAAACCCAAAACACCCAAGTCAGTTCTCCCGCCGTATTACAGAAATGGCGACACTGCCGGGAATGAATTTAAAAGTGGGATTACCTTAGAGCTAGATAACCTTTAAATGCTTTCATTGTTTGATTTGTTTGCTTTACATTTATGGATCCTTGTTTTGGTTTGTATTAATCCTCTACCCGGATCTGGGAACATCATTAGGTAAATAGAAAAAATTATGGAGATTGTACGGTGTAGACCGATATGGTTGAGACAATAGCTATGTTAGTGTGACACATTTGTGGGTACCGATATTCCTTATGGATAATTAAGGAGAAATAAGGGTTGTTGTGTGGTGTCATGAAGCACTAACGAACCTTAGAACCTTTAATTGAACAACTTCGCCATTAGGAAGTAGTGAGATAGTCGGCTTTGGTGCAGTCCGAAGTTGGTTGATACTCGATACTATGCTCATTGAGATCGGACTTTTGGGATATTTCGGTCGCCAAAACAGAGGCTTGCGATGAAACAATGCCCAATGAAGAAAGATCAATGATATTGAGATCCCCTAGAACCCGATTACTTTCTAGGACAGGTTGAACCAACTAAACTTCAAGAGGGTACTTACCTATGAACCTCATGCAAGCCTAAACCTAAGGACTTATTTGCTTTGTGTGTATGTGTTTAATTGTACATAACATCATGACATCATACCATTACATTTACACTAACCATTTCAAGGACTTTGACATTTATCTTTGTGTTGTTTTGTAAGACATGGCTTTCATGCGAATAAATACTATTTGAATCAACCTTGTGAAAGTTCCTCCTCAACTCAAAGAATTAGCATCAAGGGTTCCTAATGATTCTCCATTCACCAAGAAGTATGGTCGTCTCATCAACTTGGTTACCACAAACTTTGAAGAGGATATGCTACATGTGCTTTTCCAATTCTTTGATCCTAAGTACCATTGTTTTATATTTCCTGATTACCAACTAGTGCTTACCATGGAAGAATTTTATCAACTCTTGGGGTGCCTATTCTTGATCAATTACCCTTCACCGGTATTGAGAGAGAACCAAGACCTGACGAGATTGCGTGAGCTTTACATTTGCAACGGTCTGATGTTGTAGCAAACCGGGAAACAAGAAGTGGTGTTAAAGGGTTTCTAGCCAAGTTTCTGTTTGAGAAGGCTCAACATTTTTTGGAGGCTCTGGATTTTCAAGCTTTTGAAGAAGTGGTGGCTCTTATAATCTATGGGATGGTATTGTTTCCTAACCCGGACCAACTCATAGATGTAAATATGGTCAAAGTTTTTCTATCTCATAACTCGGTACCTACCTTGCTTGGAGATTTCTTGCATTCTCTTCACTCTCGCACCATGAAGAGAAAAGGAATTATTATATGTTGCACTCCTTTGATCGTTGATCATCATTGATCGTTATGGGGAATTTCCTAATGTCCCTCTCCTTGGCATTAGGGGAGGTATCACCTATAATCCTTGCTTGGCTTTGCAACAGTTTGGGTATGCTCGGAGGGATGGTCCTCATGACGCACTTGTC